AAACCTTTGATTTTGTTTTCAGGAACTAATCAATGCACCTGACAACATCTCAAAAGGTCAAGTTGTTATGGACTTCTGCAGGTCTCGTGCTAGTGATGTCCATCCTCATGAACAGTGAGTGATTTTACTGAATTACCTCTATTTATTCCTCGGTCCGTCCGCCTTTCCTTTGTTTGTTCCCCTGCTCATTGGTTCGTTCTTCCGTTCCACCATTCCCACTTTCCTCCGTTCCCTCGATCTAACGTTCCTTCGTTCCATTGCTCCCTGGTTCCTTCATTTCTTCGTTCTTTCGTTCCTTCGCTCCCTCGTTCCTTCTTCCTTCGTTTGATTGCTTACTTATTCATCATGTCGGACTAAAAATTGTAAGCAACGCTTCACGTTTGAATTTGAATTTTAACATTTGAATTTTCGTATATCCATAATATTTAGGAAAACAAAATAGTTATAAGAACCGGAAGCCTTGTGGAAAAGTCAAAAATACCTAATTAGTATTATTTTAGTGTACAGTATTTCACTGCTATCTTTGCGCTCCGTTTTGTACAAAATTTGTTGAACTCTTTTGTTTATTCTCAGGTCTGCAAACATGGATGGCAAGACAACAGAGAGTAAGTCTAAACTGACCAATCACTTTCAACGAACCAGACTTATAACATTATCGACTGACAAACACTGTTCACTTGACTCTGAAGATGACTTCGCTCAGGTTGTGGAAACGTCAGTCACCATCAACAGTTCTGTTCAGAACTACCGTGACCCTCATCCAGACGATCGCGCCACACTAACCAGCTCAGTAGTGAGCAGATTCAGTAAAGTTTCTTATTAGGCTCGTTAGCATTTACAATTTAGCCATAGAATTCTCTTTATTCATTTTTATTTTTTAAATATACTTCTTCCACTACATCATGTGTTAGGATTAAAAGGAAAATTAACTTAGGGCAAGATGAACAAGAGTCGATAGAATAAGCGATGACATTTTACAGTAGTCGATGTTTCAGTAATAAGTACTGGTCAAAATAATTGGTCATAATAAAATGTTCATGCTTGTACTGTAGATGATGGGGAGAACGAGATGTGGGCACCAGTGATGTTTGAGCAATACGTAGTGACAGCTGACTACCAAAAGAAAAACAAGAATGATATTTCCCTGACAGCCGGTGATATTATTGATGTCATTGAAAAGAACGACTACGGTGAGAATAAGAAGAAAATAGTTCATTGTTTGTGTGATTTAAAGGACCAGTGCCTTTCACAGAACCCCTCGAGTTCAGCGTGCTATCATAAGGATTAGTCTGTTGCCTAGCAACTACAATGAGGCAATATGCAGACCAGGCACTATAATACACTAATTAACCTGAGCAGAAACGATTATTCCTTTCAACGTTTTGTTTTCATTTCTCTTGTGTCTTCTCTTTGTAAGGCTGGTGGCTTGTTGACCGAGAAGGAGAGTTAGGTTGGGCTCCTGCAAATCATCTTAAGCCCACAGTCAACGGATCAGAGATGACTGCGTCAGAAGTATTTGTACCAGGAAAAGGTGAGCTTAACTGTGTTAACAATGAAGAACAGAGAGGTGTTCACCTGAGTGTCGAAAAGTAATAGGTTTTGCCACAGGTTCCCCAAGCTCAAAATACGTGGTGTATGCGACTGCAAAAATTGTGTAGATAGAGAATTGTACGGGAAAATCATCGATCGCAAAACAAAGTTGTGTAAATAATTATCTCAAATAAAGAATAGAAGAGTAACGGTTTCAAATAACTTCACAAAACGGCGTCAGAATGGCTTTAAAATCGGCACAAGTGACAAGTTTGCGACACATTTGAGGTAGGAAAACTTTATTTCAAATGAGATGGTTATTTACACGACTTTTTTACGATCGATTATTTTCCCATACAATTTTCTATATACACAAGCTGTCGCATACACCACGTATTTTGAGCTTGAGGTTTTACACTTACTACACTGCACGCGCCACTTTTCATCCAATCAAAAGTAAGACCAAAGCCAATAGTGACTTTTTCGCACATGTTTCCCCGCTTTGCATCATCATCGTGCTATTACTCCGAACTTTGATTGGCTCACTGCATTGCCTGCGCCCAGTTTGTGATTGTCTGGAAGGATAACTTTGATTTTGGTTTTGGGACATTCATTTGAAAACTGTTCTAGACATTTGGAATGACAATAGATTCTTTTACTGACTATCCATGGAAAAGTATGACAAACAAGGTTTGTAACGCCCACCTGTGTTTTCGTCCTGAGAAATGACTTTCAACTTGTTCAGCAATATTGCTCTATTTGTTGCAAACGCTATTGGCTTTATTATTGATGGGTTGAGCTTCTTTACGGTGTTAAACATGCCATTTAAAAAAAATTAGAAAGACATTTTCTATCAATAGTATTAATGAAACATTCGTTTTCAAAATTTCGCTTTTCTCCATTGTACTTGAATATAAATATATTTAGCATTATCAAGAGGTAATGATCAGATCCTTTTGGTTTTATCTAATGACCATTACTTTGGCTCACACACACTTGTCAGGGTGTTTTGAGAGTCTATATCAAATGAAGATGATTGAAGCCGTTTTCCTTCTGAACACTGATGATTGTTTCTTGTTAGTAGATTCTCATGAACATGATGATACCCAAGGAATCCCGCGCACACCTGCCACAACGCAAAGCATGGTGAGAATTCTCAATGCCGAGTTTCGTTGTCTTTTGCCTTTTCAGTTAGGTCAACTGAGTGTTGAATGTGGTTTTCACTTGAACTGTCTGTGAATTAAATTCTACTTTCTGATTGTTGATACATTGAAGGTTCAAAGAACAGTTTGCAAAATACCAAAGCTGAACCCTATGGAACTTGAAGGTACACCAGGCGGAGAAGAAGGCGGCCGCAAGACAACTAGCCAATCAGTTTCAGAAGCAGCAATCGCAAATAGGAAAGTTCTACCACACTCCACTCACGTGTCCTTATCAAGATCCTCGCCGCAGACTCTATCTTGCGAGTTTAGTCAACGTGAATTAGACAACCCATTCCAGTCCCGTCGATTGTCCATGTTAAGTGGTGGATATGACAACTCGCTAAACACAAGCCTTTCGTCCCATGTGTCATCTGATGTTTTCACAGAGGAACATTGTACTAATGGAATGAAGAAGTATGCATCGCTTCCACTGCTGGACAGCATTGAAGGCGGCTTGGGAATGTCGCGTCCTACTCTAGCGATGCCCCTTTCAAACCCTGCCACTTCACTGGAACGCCACAAGAGTGAAATGGAACTGACCTTGAATGGTGTCCACTCGAAAAGCAAACACTCAAGTTCAGGAAGAAGCAATCCTATCCCATCACAAACAAAGATTTCCTCAAACAGGACGAGCCCGCAAGTCTGTTCTTGCCAAAAACGCCGCGATTCTGGTTTTGAATCACTGTTTAAGACGTCACCCAGAGTGTCCCGTTCGGAGATTGAGAATGATTTCCACTATAAGAATCAAGAGAAAAGCATTGCAAATCCAAGATTCTACAGAGCGATGTATTCGTACAATTCTCAGGACGACGGTGAAGTTGCCTTCAGGAAGGGAGATGAAGTAGAGGTGATTCAACGAAGCGAGAATGGCTGGTGGCTTGTACGAACATCAGAGGAACTTTGATGGGGACCTTCTAATTTCTTACAGTCTCCGGCATACTGAAGCATTCATGCCTGAGCATTGGTAAAAGAAGAGAACGAATGTCGCAGAGCTTTTCTATACGCGTAGAGCTCAAGACTGACTTAAGAATACTGTCTTTTTGTTGTTAAAACTTTTATCTTCAAGGGTTGATTCATGTCGCTGTTTCTACTTCTACATATACTTTAATGACTTATAAAGCAGATTATCTGCATTACATTAGTTTACAAAATAAATAAATTTATAGTTTAATGAAACCTATAAAAGTATTATGTGCAATATAAGATTAAGTAAGAGAATAAGATATAAGTATAAAATAATGAAGAGATAAAAAAAATTATAAGAAAGAATGAACGTAAATTAAAACGATACGTTTTATCCAGGAGGAATACAGATCCGCACGCTGCATTTCCGCAGTCTCTGGGAATTATTCCAATATGTCAACAGTGGGAAATGTTGATGCTTTTAATCGCTTGTTCGATAAATGAAGCCCACTCGTTTCCAAAATGAACCTTGTTCCCCCGATACAAGCAAAGCAAATATCAACAATTTTGTTAATATTTTTGGCTTAATTTTTAAGGCTAAAATCGCGTTATGTCTATCATGATTTATTCAACGAGTTCTCTTATGCGCAGAATGCGCATAGCAGCGAGAACAAATATATGAATACGATCAGTTAGGAAAATGGGTTAGATTTTCCATGATTTTCAGAGTTAACCTAATATTGTGATATTTCCGGATTTCCATATAATCCCACTCTAATCATAGTATTTGACTCCATTCGTGAAAACGTATTTATCAATTCAAGTTTTTCTTTTTATTATGCAAATTTAACGGACTTCCTACGAGGTGACTCACAGCAGAATCTACAATCGCTTTGACAATGGCAGCATGATAACACCGAAAAGGCCGGCTTTTATTGCTTTTACCTGTCCATGTATTTCATCATCATTGTAAAGTAATTGTGGTAGAACACACCTGCCTGTAAATCATGCAATAAATCATATTGAAGTTAAATTACACAAGAATAAACGCCCAATATTGTTAATCTAACATCGTAATATACACTGTGAATGTATATCATATTTATTTGTCAATTTAAAGTTACTCAAGTAGTCTATCTTTGAATTTCTCTCTGGGACAGTAAATTATAAGTTTTGAATTCCGCTACAAAATCAGGGGATGGGTGGTGCGCACAGAGAGTGCGCACCCCTCTCCCCCATGCGGCCTTTTAATATAACTGGTATTCTTATTTGTGTTGAAGCAAAACATAGTGCTTCCCCTCCTAAGAAAAATCCTAAATCCCCCTCCCCCCTTGAAAGATATCAAGATCAAGAAACTGTTGTAAAATCAGGGAAGCTATCTCACTTAAAAATGTCACTTTGTCAACAAACTGCTGGAAAGAGACTCGATACAATCTGACGACCCTTCCTCATACAGATTTGCTAGTTTTTTGACACACGGAGCGAGACATACAAGTTGATGGCGTCGTGTCAGTCATCTCACCCAAGACAACACGGGGACACTGGCCTCTTGGTCGCATTGTCAAAGTTTATCCAAGCAAAGATGGTCACGTAAGGGTCTCCAAAGTTTAAGTAGGAAAAGAAGAATGCCTTTGGCCTATTACTAAGTTATGTCAGCTTGAACTGTCTTAAACGCGTTCAGAGATAATGACAGTGATGAAGATGAAGACTTACAAAGATTTCTGAACAATTTAGCAGTGTTTCAATTGTAAGGAAAGTCCCCCTTATTATGGGCATCATTGTTATATTAACAAGCCAGGGCAAATCGACGAGGGGGAGAATGAACAGGAGACGATTGCGCTGATTAGTGTTCTTTTGATATTAGTCCAGCAGCCAAACGCAGATTTTTTAGCATTATTTTACTTCCATACAAAGTTTTTTGGCAAATAATTATAGCACTATGAAGGGTCTTTCATAATGCATCTGATGCCACCTCACTACCGCTGAGCATCACGAGATATTAAGGGATATTCCCCAAGAGTCTTCCAGAGAATCTGGGCTCCACGTGGTTTGACCCGGTCAATCTCTCAATACCCGGTACTTGGTCTTTGATTCATTTTGCACAATACTGACGATTTCTTTGCAAATTAATGTTTTGTGCTGCACTGTGCAATTTATCCATCGAGTATGGCATAAAAATCTTCGAAAAAAAACAAGTTTTACCATTTCATCTAAGGACTAGGGCTGGTACCCAGGTCACCCGGTCATTTAAGATGGCTGCCTTCACCTTACTGTCATGACTGTAAGTATTTCGATAAAATTTGTCTTGAAAATGACTTTTCTAGTGTATCAAAGGAACATTTAGCCTTAAGAAGGTTTTCTTTTATCTCTTCTACCTATTCTGTGTTTATTGTTCAGGAGTTAACAAAATGTTTTGTACAGGTTTCGCACTCGCTAAACGTAAATGCAAAATGCCTTTTGACTCAAAAAGTCTATCGCTTGAAAAACATCAAGCTAAAAGATTTGTAAACTTGAGTTTATGATATAATTCATTTAAAAAAGGATCACTATTGAAGCAATGTTTTATTTGAAACTTGTTTTTTTATTTCATTCTACATTCTGCCTCATTTAAATGGGCATTTCTCAGCATTGTAAATCGTAGTGAACGTATTGATATAAATTAAAGATCTCGCACAGAGATTCATGATAAGTGATTATATACTGAGAATATTTCCATATAATAATAGGCGCCAATTGACATCATCACAGAGATTTTAAGACTAGATATATCTAAAGATAATCTACACGCTGTCATAGGTTATTTTGTCAGTCTATGTTGTATGCCCAACAAACCGAACACAACAGAGGGATCTGACACTCAAGTTGATTTTAGAGGGCTGTTTATCTTGATTTTATAGATATAACGATTACAAGTAGCTGCTTTTTAAGTCAAAGTTTAATTGCGAAGATGGTCATCTTACAGTGTTTCAGCATATGCTTTCAAGGAGCGATTAAATAGGCATAGAAAACGAGAACATTCTGCCACTAAATCTAACCGTATCAACCGCCGACAAAGCAACGTCGCTCAACTGTACAGGGGTTTAGCTTTAAAGGTCAGTGTTTTTTCTGTGGTGAGAGTTGTACAATTGAAAAGGACAAAAAACACGCAGATCGATAGAGGAGGGCGGTCCTGTGCAGAACTGCATATGCAAGGCTAGACAAGAAGTCGTTTAAAGAATCTATCCTAAGGTATGTGATCAACGTAAAGACAATGTAGCGGAGCAGGTGAGATTTCATGTGGAGGGAGCTTTGAGTGATTCATACGTCGCAGATGCCCGTTATCATGTGGACTGCATGACAAATTAAATTTTCATGTGGCCTAATTCCCTAGCTGCAACCCAAAACGCGAGCGAGGTAAATGTAAATGAAGATCCAGCATTTGATAGTGTTACAGAAGAAATGGTTAAAGACGAATCCCGCTTGTGGAACTCAGTTCAGCTTCATCATCTGCACCAGCTTCTCGGAGGAAGCATTCTTTCTCGAAGAGCAGTGCTCTTGCACGTTAAAGATCATTTTTCGGATGAAATTGCAATCCTTTCCTCTCGGCCTGGATTGGGAAGCACGGTGGTCTTCAATACTGATGCAACGAAAGTGCTATATCTCTTAAAAGTTCCAGAAGATGACCAGGAAGAAATTAAACGTCCATTGAAAATTTGTTGAACATCATTAGCGAGGTGAAAGATATAAAGTTTGACCGCTCTCATTATGACATCAGATTCACCGAGGAGGATATGTCACGTATGCCAGTCCCACTCTGATGGATCTTTTAGCCGTTATGACTGACAATTTGAAAACCACTCTTCCTGCACTCCTGATTGAAAACATAGGAACAAGTGCTTTTTCTAGCAAACTTACCAATCAATCATATATATCAATAGTAAACAAGCTATATCGGCCGCGCATTGATCAGCAAAGGGTACTGTGGTCGATTTTGTGAACATTTCAAGAAGTATATTTCCAACAAGCTACACTAATCAGATGTGTACTCATCCTCGGAAACCCAGGGGCTACTAGCCGGGGCGATGCGATATTTTCAGGCGAGCGATATTTTCGGGCTAAAGTTTACTTCAAGAGCTGGAGAGCCCCTGGGAACTTATTCTTACCAAACCAGTTCCGGAAGTAGTCGAATTCCGTCCCGCTGATTAACCAGAAAAATATTCTTCCGGCCAATCAGCGAGGGGTTCTAGCCGGGTAACTCTGTCGACTTGATACAAGAAGCAGTTTTCTTCATCGATCGACCTAGTTTCTTGGCCCGTGCAACGGGGAGATTGTCGTGGAAAGTTTCAGCAAATATTCAACGATTCAGAGAAAATCACAAGGCTTAACATGGGGCTAGGAACCAATACTCATCCATCAATTTTCTTGGCAGATTTATTAAGGGTATATCGCAAATTTTTATAGTTAATGTACGCGATTTCGACATAGTTGCGTGGCCCGTGCAACATCGATTTACATATCGTGCAAAGTTTCAGAAGTCATTCAACGATCGAGGCGAAATAAGAAGTAACCGTGGGTACTCAACTAGCTTAATCCCTGCAACAAAAAGCAGCAGTGTAGAAATCGCGTACTTTAACTATAAAAATTTACGATATACCATTTTGTTGCGGGGAAAACTAGTCGACTACCCAGGGCTACTTTTTATTTCGCCTCGATCGTTGAATAACTTCTGAAACTTTGCACGCTATGCAAATCGCGGTTGCACGGGCCACGCAACCATGTCGAAATCGTTGAATATTTTTTCTGAAACTTTCCACGACAATCTCCCCGTTGCACGGGCCAAGCAACAAGGTCGATCGATGAAGAAAACTGCTTCGTGTATGAAGGCGACAGAGTTACACGGCTAGAACTCCTCGGTGATTGGCCAGAAAAAAAATATTCTCTTCTGGCCAATCAGCGGGACGGAATTCGACCACTTCTGGAACTGGTTCGGTAAAAATAAGTTCCCAGGGGTTCTCCAGCTCTTGAAGTAAATTGTCGCCCGAAAATATCTCATAATCCCAGGTAGTAGCCCCTGGGTTTCCGAGGATGATGTGTACTTGGTACTCGAGAGGCATCGAGATTACAGCACAAAAGGTGTTACAAGAGAAGGGAGAGCATCTGATGCGAGCTGCAAGTTATACCAACTTTCAGAAAACACCCTCCTTCCCTCGCAGAAGGCTGCACTCACGGTGAGTGCCAATAAGAACCAGCTGATAGGCAAAATCTGTGGAAATTTGAGCAGCGATGTTGCGTTCCATACTCAGGACACGTCCATCCACAGGTTGGTTGTAACAGCCCGTGACAACATCCCTGCTGAGATCCACAAAGGAGCACTTTATCTAAGGCGAGACATGGCAACATCACACGAGGAGGCGGACAACATAATAGCACAACAATCGATCATGTGCGCGAAACAGCGACCTGGTGCCGTTTTAGTTATCGGGGATGATACAGACGTTTTTGGGCTCCTTCTTCAGCTTTATCAAAGTGAGGGTCTTACCAGTGCCATGTTCACGAAATCACCTGTTCAGCAAAGGTCTACGATAGACATCAAGACCACTGTGCAAAAACACCATGCCATCGTTCCTGGCTTGCTTGCAGCGCATGCGTTGTCGAGCTGTGATACCGTGCCAACCCACTTCGGAATTGACAAGGGTACTGTGCTGAAGTTCCCAATGCGGCTCCTGAGTCTTTAACAATGCTAGGAAGTCTCAACGCCCCCCTCTCCGAAGTAGTCCACCAGTCCAGCAGGAAATGATATGTCCGAGATCCGCTACAAAGTCCAGCTCTTCCAATCCAGTCGCCTCCTCGAGAAAGCGAAGCTTTCACAGAGAACGTTAAACGAGCTCACCTTCAGACTTGCATCTGGAAGGCAGCAATGTTGCTAGACCCACCCACTCATGTATGGTTATCTCAAGCATGAACCATCAAAGTCCTTGCTACCAGTCACCATACCAGCTGGTTAGGCTCTGGCTGTTTCTTACCTTGTAATAACAGCAGCGAGGCGAAACTTTCCCACCACATATCTTCTTCTATGCGTAATCTTGTACTGAAGTGCCATCGACTGAGCTGATTTATTTTCGTCCTAATTTGCGAAAATACGAGTCAAGTTAAGAGTCCTCATTCCGGACAGGATGCCCCATTTCAGGGCGATCGCAATAAGATTGTATTCTTCGTTTTCTTGGTATTATTTGTCTCCATAATTTGAAAAAAATATATGAAATACCTACTATAAAATAATACATGTGCGAAATATTTAAATTTTTTCAAACGGAATTGTCGCTTTTCGTGGACATGTTTTGTTGGTTAAGAAATTTGCATAAAATACCTTTACAGCGGTTACCAGTCACACGCGCCCTTCAAAGATTTTTTTCCTATTTCAAAAACTAAGTTTTGGTGGACGTCAGTCAAATGTATCCTTGGCAATAGTCGTGTTCATTTCAGTTTCACGCCGATGTTCGACTCATCGTTGGATCAGGTATAATCACTCAGTTATTATGACAAAGTATTTTGCAATTTCGCTGAGATGGAGGGTTATTATGTAGAGAAGACGTGGTCTGTCTTTGAATCACATAGCAGAAACACTTTTTGCGAGTGAGACGTTTGTGAAGAAGGCGGCGTTTCGATTGAACGAAAACAAAACTAGAGCCGTAAGCGATCCGCCAAAGAGGAAGTCAAAGAAACGAAATATATCACGTAGCTGCAACAGTTGGCCTCTGAAATGAGTCGCTTTATGTGGAGATTGACTTTTTTCAGCTTGTTATGGATGCAGATTATTTTCGCCGCAGAAATTCTTGTCATTCGCCTTGCTAAAATATAATCCAGAGATCTATCTTTACGAGGTTCAAGCGTGGCTGGAATACCAGACAGACCCAGGGCCTCTTCATATGAGCCCGGTAACCAGGCTGGCTCGGTTACCGAGACGAATTCTGTGGTGTGTTCATATGGGAAATTTCAGCCCGGTCGACCGGGATGAATTCAAGAAACACAACCAAAATGGTGGAACATAAATTTGTATTGTTCGCGACTTTCAAAGCTTTCTGGACCCTTGTAACATTACGAATAAAGCTAATTGGCATACTTCTAAAGTGGGAATACATACAAGATCAACAACTATGCCACTTTGTTAGCCGCTATGTTGTGAGAGCGAAGCTATTTTGTTTAAAACGTTTCGTCCCGGTTACTGGGCTGGAGTGTTCATATGGGAAAATTTTCATCCCGGTTACCGAGATCTCGGTTGCAAAAACCGAGATCTCGGTAACCGGGCCATATGAACACATCGATATTTTTAAAAAGAAAAGAGCTGCGAGGCGAGATCTCGGAAACCGAGCCAGCCCGGCTGACCGGGCTCATATGAAGAGGCCCCCAGACAGGTAAATTATATGCAAAGCAAACCGGCAGCAGAACCATACGGCAAATGGGATTGTTAGTAAGGTAATGAAAGCCGCAAGAGATTAGCAGTTAGATTTTTGTAGTTCATTCTGTAATAAAGGTTATTATTTATATTTACTTCGATTCAGTCTCGTGTTGTTGTGGTTGTGCACTGTTTGTATAAATTTGCAGCTTCAAAGCTTTGCCCGTGAGCGAGACGAACGAAAAGGCGCTTCAAGCGATTTAATAAGTGTTACTTCTCAGTTTCTGTTTATCGACGAGTCAAGTTAAGATGAAAGAGCAATTACAACTCGAATACATTGAAATAGAGTGTGTGCAGTGTCACGCAATAAAAAATAAAATCAAAAACCGTGCATCGGATAAAGTCCAGAAATTGAGATATTGTAAACGACAAATAAAGAAGTCAGTTACCCAAGTTTAAGGTGTGTGCGTTCTCCCAAAGCTGAGATATTCGTCGAAATGTGCCGCACAAAATTACAGAGCCTAGTTTGGGGTCCCCATGTGGGAGGACCTCTTTAGTCCTCCAACATGGCTGCCAGTAAATAGTGTAAACATCTAGAACTTCCTTTGGCTATTTAGTCGACTGATTATCTGAACCGGACCAAAAAATATTCACAAAAGTACTTTTCCTGATACTTAATCTCCTAAAATGGCTAAAAATCACGAGACAAGTGTATATTTTTCGACAAACGCGATCGTAGGGTTATGTCACGCACCGCCATAACTTCGAAATTCAAAATGCGCTTGTTTCCAAACGAAGGATGCTATTGAGCTGGAAAGTTGTAAACAGCTATAAGTTTGGTACCTCTTATGCCTGATGAGGATAAAACCTTTAGTGGCTTTTTATTTTTAGATTCGAGAACTTGATGACGTCACGTGCACACACGCTATAATAGGTGCGGTCAGGAGCCCATTACTCGGAGCTTCCATCTTCCATACTGATCCCCCCTAGTCAACACTGTCCCGTATCTTTTTATTTTTAGAAGCACCTCCCAAGGGCATTCTCGCGGGTGTTTTAATAATAGCCAATCATAAGAGAGCTCTGGCCCTCTATTGTTATACGTTACAAAGAGGCCACACGAAAGTATTTCAATAATTGCGGAAAACAAGGAAAGTTGATATTTTTAGGATGTTATGCGGACGTCAGCGTGTTTTCGTGGGAAATTAAAGAACTCCCGCAGATATCACAGTTATAAAAATAAAAAGATACGGGAAAGGGTTGCCTCAAGGGTGCAGTTGATATGGAAGCTTCGGGTAATGGGCTCCTGGTGCGGTTACACGAGGCACTTTTTAACGTGGGAAATTGCCCTTTTACCACGTGAAACTGCATTTAGCAATGTGACCGACGTTTCCCGAGGTAAATTTCCCGTGTTAAATATCCATGGATACGTCAAAAAGATCACACGAAGCGCCCATGACATTTAACGTGGTAAGCTGGAAGGCTGTTTTGATGCC